GTGTGAGCAAGACTGCTCATATTTGGTCATAAAAGGAGGACTTTTTCCCTCCCTCCTTGAAGATCTAGACACACCAGCAAAATCTTGACACTGTTGGGGTTGATATCCCCACCTGTGGCTCCCCTGGGTGGGGGGGGATGCTGTGCCCTGCAGGGGCAGAGGTTGAGGGGGGTCCAGACTCCCACGGGTGGGTCATGAAGGAGGACTCCTGGCATGCACCCCCCCAGCATCTCAGGGTTAGGAAGAGCTGGAAGGTGCTGGTTTTTAGGTGATGGGCCATTCCAGGCAGGTGGGTGAGCTGGGAGGAGCAGGCTGGTCAGGGAGTGGAGGAGAGCTGCTGGTTCCCAGTGCCCTGCAGGCGTGGGCACCAGGCCAGAGCCACTCAGCTCTGGTGTGTCCATGGCTGGAAAACACCCCCAGCAGCCTGGGGCAAACAGAGCCAGCACAAAACCACAACAACTCAGCAGTGGGAGATAAGCTCCTGGGCCTGGGCCAGCCCTCCCAGTGCTGTGCAGGGCTGGGCTTCCAAGGGACAGGCACCCAGGTGCTTCTCTTGGGCTTCTCCTGCTGTTGGTGGGGTTGGCTCTGGCAGGGGTGGGCTCTGATCCAGCCAGTGGGGCTTGGGGGCAGCAGGAGAAGGAAGAGCCTGTGTCCCTGGGTAAAAAGGGACACTGCAGACCATCAGAGCTGGTGCTTGGGGGTGCTGGGGTGTGCAGGCTCAGGGGTGCCCACCATGGGAGATGGTGGGAGAGGGAGGCCAGAGGGATCCATGGTGCCCTGTCATGGGCACACCACCGGTGGGAGGTTTTCCTGCTCATTGCTGGGCCTGGCTAACAACTTCTGTCCATGCACTGGGGGCATTGAAGCCACCTGGTCCCACCTGTGCCCCTCCGTGCCAGCTGCCTGGAGGTGGAAGATGCTGGAGGCACTTTGGACATCCAACATACACAGAATGATGGAGAGGTGTTTGGAGTCTGACTTGTTTACTGAGTGCATCCTGCTGGGGAATGGTGCTGGTCCTGCCCAGAGCCACGTGAGCTGGGCCACTGCCAGGCAGCCCAGGCAGAGCAGAGAGGGGAAAATGGGCAAGCAGGAATATCCCGTGGGGAATGCAGGATCCTGGGGGCTGCAGCACCCTGGAAAGGCAGAGCTGGCTCTGAGCCAGAGCTGGTGGGTGGTGGGGTGTTCTGGAGGCTCCTCCACGGAGCTGGATACAGCCTCCTGAGTGCATGGCAGGAGGTCTGGGCACAGGGCTGACAGCCTGGTGGGACCCTGGCCCAGGCTGCCCAGGGAAGCTGTGGCTGCCCCATCCCTGGCAGTGTTGAAGGGCAGGTTGGATGGGGCTTGGAGTAGCCTAGGCTGGTGGGAGGTGTCCCTGCCCATGCAAGGATTGGATCTAGATAGTCTTTCAGGTCCCTTCCAACCCAAACCAGCCTGGGATTCAATTCTATGAACAACAACCTCCCCCCTCATCACCCCAGAGCTTTCCCCCAGCCATGTGCTGGTGACCTGCACTGGCTCATCCATCTTCAGAGGGTTTGCCCTGCAACAAACACCTCTCAGGAGTCGTGGGTGGGAGGTTTTCCTGCTCATTGCTGGGCCTGGCTAACAACTTCTGTCCATGCACTGGGGGCATTGAAGCCACCTGGTCCCACCTGTGCCCCTCCGTGCCAGCTGCCTGGAGGTGGAAGATGCTGGAGGCACCTTGGACATCCAACATACACAGAATGATGGAGAGGTGTTTGGAGTCTGACTTGTTTACTGAGTGCATCCTGCTGGGGAATGGTGCTGGTCCTGCCCAGAGCCACGTGAGCTGGGCCACTGCCAGGCAGCCCAGGCAGAGCAGAGAGGGGAAAATGGGCAAGCAGGAATATCCCGTGGGGAATGCAGGATCCTGGGGGCTGCAGCACCCTGGAAAGGCAGAGCTGGCTCTGAGCCAGAGCTGGTGGGTGGTGGGGTGTTCTGGAGGCTCCTCCACGGAGCTGGATACAGCCTCCTGAGTGCATGGCAGGAGGTCTGGGCACAGGGCTGACAGCCTGGTGGGACCCTGGCCCAGGGTGCCCAGGGAAGCTGTGGCTGCCCCATCCCTGGCAGTGTTGAAGGGCAGGTTGGATGGGGCTTGGAGCAGCCTAGGCTGGTGGGAGGTGTCCCTGCCCATGCAAGGATTGGATCTAGATAGTCTTTCAGGTCCCTTCCAACCCAAACCAGCCTGGGATTCAATTCTATGAACAACAACCTCCCCCCTCATCACCCCAGAGCTTTCCCCCAGCCATGTGCTGGTGACCTGCACTGGCTCATCCATCTTCAGAGGGTTTGCCCTGCAACAAACACCTCTCAGGAGTCGTGTTGGGGATCTCACACCCATTTCCCCCTGGGTTCCTTGGGCCAATGACACCAGCTCCTTGGGTGCTGTCCCTGAGCAACACACCCAGGCACTCACCCACCAGGGGACAGGCATTGAATGGTGACAAAGCCCTGGTCCAAGCTTTGCAGGCTGGGTTGAACAGGCTCTGCACAAGCCATTAAAAATCCCAGAGCAAATAAAGGAGGGTGTTGGTTGCTGCTGCCCTTCCTTGTTACAGGCTCTTATCTGCTGGTGCATCAAGGAAATTCTTGAAGGAGATAGTCCCAGGGGCACATGGGTGAAAAACCACCTGGAGATCTGGTGATGGAGGGTAAAGCTGAACTCCTGCTCTGGGCATCCTGATAAAGAGTAGGGCTATAAAACACTGTGACTCACACTGCAGCTTCCATGCTTCCTGGAGAGTTCAGAAAACTTCCTGGCTGCCTCTTGGAGTCACTGTCAACAAGACAAGAAATAAAGAAAAATCAGTAAATAATGAAATGATACTGGTTGTGAGAGGCTTTTTAAAAACTCTGCAAAGAAATCTCTCTTAAGTGAGTCATGGATGGGGATGGTGTTGTTGGAAATCTTCCTGGGTTACATACCAGGAGGTACATGCTTGGGGGAACTGGCCTGGCTGAGATGCCAACACTGAAGAGAGGTGAGTCTGGTCTCAGCTCCAGCACTCCCCTGTGTGTGAGGGGAGTAACAGAATCACAGAGTGGTTGGGGTTGGAAGGGACCTGGAAAGCTCCCCCAGCCCAGCCCCCCTGCCAGAGCAGGGGCACCCAGAGCACATCACACAGGAACGTGGCCAGGGGGGTTGGAATGTCTCCAGAGAAGGAGACTCCACAGCCTCTCTGGGCAGCCTGGCCCAGGGCTCTGGCACTCTCACAGCAAAGAAGTTCTTCCTGAGATTCCCATGGAACCTCCTGAGCTCCAGTTTGCACCCACTGCCCCTTGTCCTGTCACTGGACTGGAGAAGAGTCTGGCCCATCCTCCTGACACCCCCTGTAGCTATTGATCAGTGTTGATGAGATCCCCCCTCAGTCTCCTCTCCAGCTGAGCCGCCCCAGCCCCCCCAGCCTCTCCTCCCAGGCAGATGCTCCAGCCCCTCAGCATCTCAGTGCCCTTGGGCTGGACTCTGTCCAGTAGCTCCTTGTCCTTGACCTGGGGAGCCCAGACCTGCACACAGGGCTCCAGGTGAGGCCTCCTCAGGGCAGAGCAGAGGTTCAGCTCCCCCATCTCTGCCCTCTCCTTGCACTGTTATAAAACCACTGGTTGCTGGGGCGGGGTTGGCCCTTGGTATGCGGATGCACTCTGGGCTGGGGCATCCTGCTACTGTCACCATCCTCTTGTCACCTACAGTGTGTCTCTGAGCACTCTGGGGCTGCTCGTTCATTAATGCAGCCTAATTGGCTGCACCAGCCTTGCCAGCATGATGGCAGGGAAGAACATCCCCTCGGGATGCTGGGGAGGAGGCAGGACACCCTTGATGCAGCAACGCTCTCCTGACATGTGGACATTTCCACCTCCCTCAGGCTTTGCAGTGCTGCTCCTGCTCACTGGTGAGGCCAAAACCAAGCCCTGCACAGCAGCTTTGGCTGCCTTGGATGTTCCCATGTCACCACCAGCCCCTCCATGCAATGCAGGGACGTCCTTCCTGCTCCTGTGCTGGAGGACCAGGCAGCAGAGCCCAGCAGGTCCACATTGCCTGATCTTTCTGCCCGTTGGGCAACTGCCAAGCAAACCAGTTCCAGACCAACCCGAGATTAGGAGAGTGTAATCTCAAAGCCAGTGTTCAAACATGGCACTTTGTACCCGGTTGCCACGTGTTCAGCATTTGTCACTAGACTTTGTGCAGGGCATCTCCCTGGTGCCTTGGTGCCACCACCTGCCCTTGGGTTCACACCACAATCCTGCTGGAATTACCTTCCCCCACTGGCAAACCCTTCCCAGCCTGGGCAGCCCAGGAGCACACACTGGTGTGCTGGGGTACACCAGCCAGGTTTGCTCACCCACACGTCTTCTAGACAGGTTTTGGTGCCACAGGAGAGCCTGGGTCTGGGCTGTTCTCATTGACCCTCCCAGTTTGCCCAGGCTGTGTCACTGGGCAATCGCTCGTGCTCCCTGTCCCTCCACTGCCCAAAGCTGTCACCAGAGAGCAGGGGCTCTCCAGGACCCACAGCTCACAGCACTGTCTGATGGGGAGGACTGAAGAAATCAACCCCAGATACAAGCCACCTCTGTTTTCCACCAGAACCCCCCTCCCCAGATTCATTCATTCGGACACATCTCATCTGCACCAAGTTCCTGTCCATCATTCAGACACATCTCATCTGCACCAAGTTCCTGTCCGTCATTAATCCATTCCAGAGCATTTTAAGATCTGATGTTACTCCTGAAGAGGGGCTGTCACCAGCAGGAAGGTCTGGCTGCCCTCCTGAGCCCTCTGCATCCCTCAACTCCAGCAAAGCCTCCCTGTGTGTGCTGAGCTGTAGGTACCTTTCCCCCGAGGTCCATCTGGCTGGGCAAGGCTGTGGGGACCAGCAGCCCCTTGCTCTTTGTCTTTTTGGATGGTCTTCATCACCGGGATGATGCTTTGGAGCTCCCCAGCACGTCCCCAGTTTCCATCCTGCCTTTGCTGGAGCAGCAGGTCAGTGAACACCCTGGTCCTTGGAGGGGACCTCGATGTTCAGCGTGTACCAGAAGACCCAGAAGACGAGGCTGAAGGCCAGCAGCAGAGCTCCTGAGTAAACGAAGAAGTCCCAGGAGCTCAGGGGAGCAAAGATTCCCAAGAGGAGGATGAGCAGCCCCAGCAGGTCGCAGAACAGGGCCACGAGGAGGATGATGGCACAGCGGCCCAGGAGCCTGAGGAAGGCCATGGGGGAGCCCAGCACAGCCCCTCAGGGAGGGGGCAGGGGGGCTGGCAGCATCCCAGCCCTCTCTCCCGGGCTGCCTGTGCTCGGGCTGCCAGGAGGAAGTACAAATGTCACAGCACACCTTGCAGAACAATTGGGAGGGAGCACAGATACTGCTTTAACCCTTCCATGGCCCTGCCCCTGCCTGGCCTGGAGCAGAGCCCAGGGCTGCCTTTCTCCAGGTGGCACAGGGGAGCCCTCCAGGGAAGGGCTCTGCTGCTGAGATGCCCTGTGACCGACCACTCCTGGTGTAGCTGCATCACCCCCAGCTTCCCAAAAAGCTGCACGTCTGGTCCTTTGGTTGGAGAGCTGAGGTGGGGGGTCTCGTGTCTCTTCGTGTGGCATCTGCCAAGCAAGGGTCCCAGCAAAGGCTGCAGGACACCCCCAGTGACCTCCTGCTGACTGCCTGGAAGCACTGCAGTGTTCCCCTCTCTTCACAGGTAAACTGAGGCACAGACATCTGCCCGGAGTGTCAAAAATCCACCTACCTTGCACCACCTCCCCAAAGCAGGTCTTGCTGGAAAGCAGCAGATGAGGCAACCTGTGCCATCACCCACCCCCAGCATGGGAACCAAGCACGTCAGGGGTGACTCACGGAGTGAGGCAGGATTTCCCAGAGCTCCTGCTTTGTTTCTGAGCAGCCAGGATCACTCTGTGGCATCCAGGGCTGCCACCTTCTGCTCCCAGGTTGCTGCATGACACCGGGCACATCTTTCCTCTCCAGTCTGTGCACACCTGGCAAACAGGGGGCCTGGGGTAGGTGGAGGGTCCAGGGAGCCCTTGGAGCTGGGAAAGCCACCCAAAGGCAGGAGCAGCCCACATTTTGGGGACTGGCAGCTGCCTGCCTCATCTCTGGGCTGTGCAGAGGATGCCAAGGCTTGAGACAGGACCCTTGGGCATCAGGTTGGTGTCAGGGACTGCTGGAGGTGGCCTTAGCTCCAGAAGATGCTGTGGTGGCACCAGGAGGGTCCTTCCCCATCCCTTAGCCAAATCCAGGGCAACCAGGTCCTGCTTGCCACCCAGACAGCCCCACTGCTGCTGTGCCATGGGCAGGGAGGAGGCTGGAGGGAATGGGGGGCATCACCTTCCCTGTCTGGGTGTTTCCTGCCTGCCCAGGGAGTCCCAGGAGCTAAAAGTCACCACCCTCCTGCCTGCCACCTGCAGTGGGCATCTCACCCAGCACAGGGGAGGGGAGGCTGCCCAGCACATCCCTGTGCTCCTCACTCCTGCCCTTTCCCAGCCTGCTGCTCCCAAGCCCATGGCAGAGAGCCCTGCACAAATCAGCTCTTGCAGCTTGGCCATTCCCACCCCAGTCCCAAGGGGCTGCTTGTTCCAGGAGATAGGATTTATTCTTTTTTTTTTTTTCCACCTGTGTCTGAACAATTAAAGCTTTTAAATACACAAATAAATAACTAATGTCTTCTTTGTGCATTATCACCCTCCGGCTTAATTACCAGAGGGCTGGAGGGAAGTGCTGGGGCACAGCTTCTTCCAGGATCCCATCAACCCATTTGCAGGAAACATGCTCTGAAAGCTGCCTCCAGGGGTGCTCAGCCACAAAAATGCTCTGCTTTCAAGCCCAGCCTTCAGTTCCTGGTGACCTCCTGCAGCCTCAGCCTGAGCTCAGCACCCAGAGCTCCCCTAACCCCTGGACACCAGGTCCCACCTGCCCTTGCCCAAACCTCAGTGGACACCCCTGGGCTCTGCCCTGCTGGTGGCCCCAGACCCTGCTCTGCTCTGGAGCACCCAAGGGGTGGGCATCTTTTTCTGTTCTCTGCTTTCCATGGGGCTGTGGTGATGACAGAGGTGGTTGGGGGATGGAAAAAGAGGTTTTGCAGTTTTTGCTGCCCAGTTCAGCCATATTTTGATGACCCAGTCTGAGGTTTGGTGTTGATGATGATGGAGCTGCTCTGGCCAGTTCTCTGATGAGCCTGAGCCTCATCACCCTCTGACAGGAAGGACCTTTTCTGTGTCCCCCCCCACAGCTGTTCCCAGTTTCCACTTCCATTGTGTTTGGTGTTTTTATTTTCTGAGTCCTCTTCTTCTGTTCACTTCATGTCAGGGAGGCCTTCCAGGGGCTTCAACAGACAGTTTTGATTGGAGTGAGAGAGCTCCAGAAGATGCCTCAGGACTTCTCTGTCCTTTCTAGCCTGGATCCCAACAGATCCCAGCCACGTGGAGCAGATCAGGCATCACCCAGGGATCCCCCTCAGACCAGTGACACTGGATCCAAAGCAAACAGCTCAAAGGAGGATGGGCCTGATGCAAGGAGCTCAGATCAATCCAGGTCTGTCCAGCCCCACACTGCAAGAGGTTGGTACCATCTTGATCTCACAAGACCAGCTGAAGAGGTTTCCTCCTGGGCTGCCATCCATGGCTGGGGAAAAGAGAGCAAGGAAACTTGTGGAGGTTGTTCCAACACAGAAACTGGCAATTGCTGATCCCACTCCAGAGGTGGAATAACTGTGGGAGCTCCTGTCCCTTTGGAAGAGACCCTGTGTGGTGGGATGGCCTGTCCCATACACCTGGTGTCCCTCCAGGGGAGCTCCCAGATGAATTCCCCACTGCAGTCAAGGCTTCCTTCAGGCTTCCTTCCACTGGAGCCTTTGGCTTTCATGGAGCAGATGTTGCAAGAGGAACAGCCCGTGTTGCTCCTCAGGAAGGTACCAGCAGCCCAGCTGGGGTTGGTGCTGCACAAGTGTCACCTGGGTGCAGTTCAGGGGTGCTGAGCCCTGCCCAGCAGTGCAGGAGAGCAGTGATTTGCCCACGACAGCCAAGGAAATGCCACATACCAAATAAAGCCTCTCCCCGTATTGAAAAGGTACCCAGAGGTCTCCAGAAGTTCATTCCCCTCCAACTAATGGCTCAGACAGCTGCAAACATCTGCATTTGGCTCCAAAGACACTTTGAAAAGAGCAGAAACACTTTCTACCTCTTCTGCTCTTCCTAGGCCAGTTCTGCCCTGGCTGGAAGGAGGATGTTGGGGGAGAAGACTCAGAGCTGGCCCAGAACAGGTTTGCAGAAATATGCAGCAAGAGTGAACCAGATTGTCCCAGGGAACAAGGAATGTTGCTTCCCCAAGTGACATGTTTGGTGGGAGCAGCAAGAATTTGACCAGGGGGATGGAAGTGGCCTGAGAAAAAGGAGTCAGTTACTACTGATGGAACTGCAGCAGGTGGGACAAGCCTGAGGAGAAGCCTTCAAAAGGTTTAGCTTGGACTGCAACTTGGACAGCTCCTTGGAGCATGGATTGAGCTTTTGGGAAATACCTGCCTGAGAATGAGGAGGAAGCAGATGGGCAGCAGGTGCTGCTTGGTCAAGCAGCCCCAGGGATGGTTGATGCACTGGGATCTCCAGGGCTCAGTGCTGGCCATGCCTGTGGTGGCTGCCAGAGATGCAGGAGCTGCAGAGGAGCTCAGCTTTGGCAGGGGGGTGCAAACTCCCTCCCCTGGCACATGGGGACTGGTTTCCTTCCAGGGCCAGCAGCTCCAGGTGAGGATGGAGCATTTGGAGATTAGGTCTCAGCTGTGGGACTCGTGGATGTGAAGCTGCTCTCCAAGTGCTCTTCTCCCAGATCCAGCTGTAGAAACAGCTCCCCCGGCTTGGAGCTTGGAGCAATTTGTACTGAACTTTCAGGGGAGGTGGGGTGGGGGATGGTGGAGGGGATGGTCAGAACAGCATCATCTCTCCCTGCCCCCAAAAGACACTGCTTGATAGACACAGAGTGATTGGACATCTGGAAAAGGAGCCCAGATGTCATGGGTGGAGTGGAATAACACTGACCTAGGAAGGGTCCTGCTCCCAGCTCCCCTTCCATCTCCTGGCTGGTGATGCTGATCCCCTGGGAAACATCCCACAGGGACCAGCACTTCAGAGCATCCCAGGGGGTGGGAGCACATGGTCCCCTCTGATGAAGGAAACCCCCTGACTTTGCAGGACCCCTCACACCCCTGACCAAGGGGAGCTCAGCCCCCCAGCTGTGCTGCAGGGGGGACCCAGCACCCCCTGACCCCCTTGGCTAGCACCACTACCCTTCAGGCCACGTGGCTGCTGAAGGCTTTCCTGCAGGATCTGCACAGGCTCCCCAGGAGTGACCAGACTCATGAGGAACCTGCTGGCACTGCTGGTTAGACTGGTGGGGGATTTCCAGTCCAAAGACACAGGTTAAGGCTGCCCTGGGGGCTGGAAGGCGAGAGGAGATGGACATTAGGGTGGTGGGTCACTGGAAGGGGCTGCCCAGGGAGGTCACATCCCTGCAGACATTCAAGGTGAGGCTTGATGGGGCTCTGAGCAACCTGGTCTAGTGTGAGTTGTCCCTGCTTCTTGTAGGGGGGGTTGGAATAGATGACCTTGAGAGGGGGACGTTGCTTTATTTGCAGCCCTGCCATGGCTCAGCAGCCCTGGCTGGAGCCTGATCTCACCTGGGGAGGGGAGACTCAAATATTGGTGTGCCAGGGCTCTGCTTGCCAGGAGAAGCTGTTCCAGCTGCATTGCACAGCCCTCAAGCTGAGTGCATGTGTAAGACAGCACCAGGTAACCCTGCAGTGGAGGCTCCAGCCCTTCTGGATGGACAGGCAGGTTGTCCCTGGGCAGGGCACGACAGAAAGTAGAGGGGAGGGAGGTGGGACCTTGGGTCTTCCACACTTGGTTCCATGCTGGAAGCATTTAGCTGGGGATTCAAGGGAAGATGCAGCTCTGGAGTATGTCCTGCCTGCTCTGGGAGGGGCCAAGGGATGCAGAAGGACATCCCACGGGTCTGTGTCCCCATGGGAGAGTTGGTGATTTGGGAAAG